AAAAAATGTAAAAAACAAACACACATGGAGGCTAAACAATACGTTACTAAACAACCAAGAGATCACTGAAGAAATCAAAGAGGAGACCAAAAAACACCTAGAGACAAATGACAACAAAAACATGATGATCCAAAACCTATGGGATGCAGCAAAAGCAGTTCTAAGAGCGAAGTTTATAACAATACAATCTTACCTCAGGAAGCAAGAAAAATCTCAAATAAACAATCTAATCTTGCACCTAAAGGAACTAGGGAAAGGAGAACAAACAAAACCCAGAGTCAGTAAAAGGAAAGAAATCATAAAGATCAGAGCAGAAATAAATGAAATAGAAACAAAGAAAACAATAGCAAAGATCAATAAAATTAAAAGCTGGTTCTTTGAGAAGATAAACAAAATTGATAAACTTTTAGCCAGACTCATCAAGAAAAAGAGGGAGAGGACTCAAATCAGTAAAATTAGAAATGAAAAAGGAGACATTACAGCAGACACTGCAGAAATACAAAGCATCATAAGAGACTACTACAAGCAACTCTGTGCCAATAAAATGGACAACCTGGAAGAAATGGACAAATTCTTTGAAAGGTATAAACTTCCAAGACTGAACCAGGGAGAAACACAAAATATGAACAGACCAATCACAAGCAATGAAATTGACTGTAATTAACAATCTTCCAACAAACAAAAGTCCAGGACCAGATGGCTTCACAGGTGAATTCTATCAAACATTCAGAGAAGAGCTAACACCCATCCTTCTCAAATTCTTCCAAAAAATTGCAGAGGAATAAACACTCCCAAACTCATTCTACAAGGCCACCATCACACTGATACCAGCACCAAACAAAGATACTACAAAAAAAGAAAACTACAGACCAATATCACTGATGAGTACAGATGCAAAAATCCTCAACAAATACTAGCAGACAGAATCCAACAAGACAAATAAAGGATCATACACCATGATCAAGTGGGATTTATCCCAGGGATGCAAGCATTCTTCAATATATGCAAATCAATCAATGTGACACACCATATTAACAAATTGAAGGATAAAATCCATATGATCATCTCAATAGATGCAGAAAAAGCTTCTGACAAATTTCAACACCCATTTATGATAAAAACTCTCCAGAAAATGGGCATAGAGGGAACCTACCTCAGCATAATAAAGGCCATATATTACAAACCCACAGTAAATATCATTCTCAATGGTGAAAAACTGAAATCATTTCCTCTAAGATCAGGAACAAGACAAAGATGTCCACTTTGGCAACTATTATTCATCACAGTTCTGGAAGTCCTAGCCATGGCAATCAGAGAAGAAAAAGAAATAAAAGGAATACAAATTGGAAAGGAAGAAGGAAAACTGTCAGTGTTTGCAGATGATATGATACTATACACAGACAATCCTAAAGAAGCCACCAGAAAACTACTAGAGCTAATCAATGAAACTGGTAAAGTTGCAGGATACAAAGTTAATGTACAGAAATCTCTTGCATTCCTATACACCAACAATGAAAGGTCAGAAAGAGAAATTAAGGAAAGAATCCCATTCACCACTGCAACAAAAAGAATAAAATACCTAGGAATAAACCTACCTAAGGAGGTAAAAGTCCTGTACTCAGAAAACTATAAGACACTGATGAAGGAAATCAAAGGTGACACAAACAGATGGAGAGATATACCATGTTCTTGGATTGGAAGAATCAATATTGTGAAAATGACTATACTACCAAACAAAGCAATCTACAGATTCAATGCAATCCCTATCAAATTACCAATGGCATTTTTTACGGAACTAGAACAAAAAATCTTAAAATTTGTATGGTGACATAAAAGACCCCAATAAGCCAAAGCAATCTTGAGGGAAAAAAACGGAGCTGGAAGAACCAGACTCCCTGACTTCAGACTATACTACAAAGCTACAGTAATCAAGACGGTATGGTACTGGCAGAAAAACAGAAAGATAGATCAATGGAACAGGACAGAAAGCCCAGAGATAAACCGACGCACCTATGGTCAACTAATCTATGACAAAGGAGGATATACAATAGAGAAAAGACAGTGTCTTCAATAAGTGGTGATGGGAAAACTAGACAGCTACATGTAAAAGAATGAAATTAGAACACTCCCTAACACCATACACAAAAATAAACTCAAAATGGATTAGAGACTTAAATGTAAGACTAGACACTATAAAACTCTTAGAGGAAAACTTAGGAAGAACACTCTTTGACGTAAGTCACAGCAAGATCCTTTTTGACCCACCTCCTAGAGTAATAGAAATAAAGAAAAAAAAAAACCAAATGGGACCTAATGAAACTTAAAAGCTTTTGCATAGCAAAGGAAGCTATAAACAAGACGAACAGACAACCCTCCGAATGGGAGAAAATATTTGCAAAAGAATCAAGGGACAAAGGATTAATCTCCAAAATATATAAACAGCTCATGAAGCTCAATATTAAAAAACCATACAACCCAATCACAAAATGGGCAGAAGACCTATTGGTCTTCTGGGAGAAATAGACATTTCTCCAAAGAAGACATACAGATGGCCAAGAGGCACATGAAAAGATACTCAACATCACTAATTGTTAGAGAAATGCAAACCAAAATGACAATGAGGTATCACCTTACACCAGTTAGAATGGGCATTATCAGAAAATCTACAAACAACAAACGCTGGAGAGAGTGTGGAGAAAATGGAACCCTCTTACACTGTTGGTGGGAATGTACACTGATACAGCCACTATGTAGAACAGTATGGTGGTTCCTTAAAAGACTACAAATGTAATTACTATATGAACCAGCAATCCCACTACTGGGCATATACCCAGAGAAAACCATAATTCAAAAAGACACATGCACCCCAATGTTCACTGCAGCACTATTTACAATAGCCAGGTCATGGAAGCAACCTAATGCCCATCGACAGACGAATGGATAAAGAAGATGTAGTACATATATACAATGCAATATTACTCAGCTGTAAAAAGGAACGATATTGGATCTTTTGTAGAGACATGGATGGACCTAGAGACTGTCATACAGACTGAAATAAGTCAGAAAGAGAAAAACAAATATATATTAACGCATGTTTGTGGAATCTAGAAAAATGGTACATATGAACCAGTTTGCAAGGCAGAAATAGAGACACAGATGTAGAGAACAAACGTATGGACACCAAGCGGGGAAAGTGGGGTGGGAAGGTTGGTGCTGATGGGATGAATTGGGAGATTGGTATTGACATATATACACTGTGTATAAAATAGATAACTAATAAGAACCTGCTGTATAAAAAAATTTAAAAAATTTTAATAAAAAGTTATGAAGTAAAAAAGAACATTTATTAGAGCTATCCATTACTTTCCTTACTCACAAAGGCTGTTCTAGCTAGGTAGCAATGTATTGATAGTAACATAACAAAACCAATTCAAAGTAATTCAATACAACCTATTTAAAAATTACATACATGTAAATTGTGGTAAAATAGAAAAAAAGTTTTTAGGCTTAGCACAGAAAACCAAAATCAATGTTTTCTATGATCTCCCCAGTTAATTTTGATTTTCCTTAAGATTTGACGAGAGGCCACAAAATAGGCACATTTATTAATCAATTATAATAGTATTTGTCATGCAAATAGGATTTGCTAGCCTTATTTCCATATGAAGCAATGTTGGACAGCTTAGAGTTCTGGGTCATAAATTACAATAAAACCTGGATCTTCTGTTTTTTGCAATGACAATTTTTTTTTTTTTTGCGGTATGCGGGCCTCTCACTGTTGTGGCCTCTCCCGTTGCGGAGCACAGGCTCCGGACACGCAGGCTCAGCGGCCACGGCTCACGGGCCCAGCCGCTCCGCGGCATGTGGGATCTTCCCAGACCGGGGCATGAACCCGTGTCCCCTGCATCGGCAGGCGGACTCTCAACCACTGCACCACCAGGGAAGCCCCAAATTTTGTTTCTTATAGTTAACTAGGAGTTAACAACATTTATCACTTAGAATATTTCTATTAATTAATAATGTTGGAAAAATATTGCATATCTATTCTAGTAGTTTTAACTTTTTCTTAGAGCAGAATTATTTCATTTAAGGAAAGCATCTAGAATTTCATTAGCCAAGATGAACAAATGCAGAGTTTCTACAACTGATAGGGAGCAATAGGTGATCCTCCCCACACCCCTCCAAGGAGTACTTTCATTTCCTCAACCTAGTTTAAACCTTCAGTGCTGAATGAAGTGTCAATATAAAAATACCTTGAAAACAATGGTGTTGTCTATTCTCCTTATTTCAGTCTTATGGAAACAAAGACACAGAGGTATCTAATGAGGGAGTCCTAACCATCCCCCATGTTTCTTAACTTCCAAGCCGTGCCCTTCTCTATCACACTACAGTACTCTATTTTCCTCTTGTAGAATTGGGAAACATAAACCCTGAACATGAAAGAAATTATTTATGATTAGTTTGGAATTCTCTTTTGTTTAAAAGTTGTTTACTCTGAAGTGTGAGATTTCCCTATATGGTTCACCAGCTAAAAGCTGCATGGATTGGGCTGATATTTCCTAATTCTGTAATCAGGGATTGATTTACATTGTTGACAAATGCATCCTTTAGAATCCCAACGTAAACTTTAAATGTTCGAAGTTGTGGAAAGAGTATAGTGCACTGAGAACTCAGATATGATGTTAATACGCAAACTGTGTTGGAGAGGAAAGGCATGAATAATCATAAGAAAATAGATTTTAAATGTCATGAATTTCTTGTTGGGCAATAATGAGGAGGCTGGCTAACCACAGTGTACTGTACAATGAAAACATTTCTTCCAGAATGTCCTTTAGGGTTATTTGTGAATAGCTACCACTCGCCCCTCCATGCTCTGGCAGCCACCATTTTTTTTCCAGTATTTTACACATTCTATCTTACTTATTCCTTAAAACAGTTTTATTGCGATTATGACCACAGACAGACAGGCAGGCTTTGAACCTGGGTATTTAATACTCTACCTCCATGATCTCTATTCTCTATGCCTCCTAAACTTCAGACTGTGTGGCTATAGTACCCAGGACAATGTTGACATTAGTGAAACTCAATAATGAGAATGTACAGAATGATTCTCACCTTAGACCAGTCACCCATTCGCCACACATAGCATTTGGAGTAATCCTCGCAGTCCTCAGCCTCCCTGGGTCTGGTGGAGAGGACGCATTTCTTTCTGGGGTTAGTACACCTCACAGTCCGATGACGTACACCTTTGCCACACTTCACTGAACACTGGAAGATAACAGCGGAGAAGTGTGGATAAAGCTGGTGATTAAGAGATACAGACTGATGATCAAATTACATTAGGAATTGGTTCTCATCATCTCTCACAAGCCTATCACCCACATAAAGGCCAGAATGAAGGAGAAGGAGAAGGAGAACACCAGGCTACAGCCCAGCATCAGAGGCCAGGTGGAGCTTCGGTATAGTGCTAGGGGTGAATGGGTTTCAGGAACACAGGACCATTACTACAGACCTGTAACACAGGGATTGTTTATGAAAGACAAATAATAAACAACGATCAAAATGTAAAATGCTAAAGCTGACTGACATCAATTTTTTGCATATAATTATATAAGGAAATTCATTTTATTTTTGCTAAGATTTAGTTTGTTTTAGCCTTAGGTGTTTGTGAAAAATGACAATTTCTAAGAGAATATCATTTCTCAAAACTTTTCTTAAAGCTAAAACAGAGAAAACATAGCAAAAACAAAACAGTTGCTTTACATAATTATACACCCCTAGAAATAATCATTCTCAATGGCTATATGGATTGAAAATATAATTCAGTTCAAAATAAGTTTAGTTCATTTCATGAATAATTGATGCTTGACTGACAGTGTGACATAACAGGTATGAAGCATGTAAGATGTAACTGACCATACCGTTTACATTTATGCTCCCCATTATGGAATATGTATAAAGCTTCCCAGTTTTACAAAGTTATGCATCACTGATTATCTGGACACAGGAACCAAAATGGCATTGGGTGGGAGACGGGAGAGGGAGGGGGGGATGAGAGATACAGCAAAACTTGACAACCTAATTTATATCTGTGTCTAAAAAAGGTCCAAAGAAAGAGGTGAAGGTATGCACTTAGCAAGAATGTAGTAGAGGAATAACCATGCAGATTCCAGTAGTTGTCTTCCTGAAAACTTTAGCATGGAACTCCTGAAGTTTTAAATACAATAATATTTGCACAAATGCGTCGTTGTCTCATAATTTATGGTTTGCATTTGAATATCCTGAGGCTTAAGGTGGACTACATTGTGATTTGGCATTTTAAGATTTACGTTTTTATTTTTTGCAATCAAAACTAACCTTGATCCATAAACTCAATTTTTATATTAAATCAAGACAAAAGAGACATTTTTAAAATTGGTACATTGCATTGACCTATTACTTCTCCTACCTGGTGCCAAAAATCTGTATGGTAGGATATTTCTGACCTATTTCCTCCTGAAGAGTTTGCAGAAATGCTAGTTAGGCTGAAGGAACTGTATTTCTGTTTCTCTGATGTTCACATGAGTCTTTTCTCCAGATTGTACTCATCCATTTTCATGTAAAATTGGACAATCCATTCATTCTAAAAGTACTCATTACAAATGAGGAAGAATCTATGCCAGAGTGAGATATAGCTTAGAAAAGTAAGACAAGAGAAAGTCACACTATTTGCTAGTGTGTTTTTTTTGGGGGTGTTGGGTAAATTGAAGAATATTCCCAAACCTCATTATCTAAGCTACTTTATCCTCAATTTTCAAAAGAATGGCTACTTATTGCAGCCTAGCATTTTCTATTTGTCATTTTTACATCTTAGCTAATATTCTGAAATGAAGCATATTTTGCTCTGGGTGTGTGTGCACATATGTCTTTGTGTATACATATGCGTATACAAGTGTGAGGGTGTTTATGTGTGTGTGTGTGCATGTACGCACACGCTCGCCTAAAATGCTCCAGAGCAGCTAGTAAATATAAGTAATGACTGGTGTTATCATAAGAAGATATGTATCATGATAACAGAAAATAAGCATACAGTTTGGCATGGAACAAAGCTGCATGTTACATACTACATGCTAGTGGGGGTATGGTGCAGTGAGCCTGGCAGCATTGGCTTCAAATCCTAGCTCCAACACTAAGCAGGACTTTGGGTAAACTGTTTAATTTCTCTGAGCTGTAGTATTTCACAAGGGTGAAACTTAACTATTTTGCATTGCTGATTAAATATCAACAAGATACTAAATATGAAGTAAGAACAGAATCCCTGCTCACAGGAAATGACTGCTAAATGTTAATGTCCTTTCTTCTCCTTTCTCTTCTAATGCTCAGGAATATGAGTCAAATGTGTATTTTTTTTAACATCTTTATTGGAGTATAATTGCTTTACAATGGTGTGTTAGTTTCTGCTGTATAACAAAGTGAATCAGCTATACATATACATATATCTCCATATCTCCTCCCTCTTGCGTCTCCCTCCCACTCTCCCTATCCCACCCCTCTAGGTGGTCACAAAGCACAGAGCTGATCTCCCTGTGCTATGTGGCTGCTTCCCACTAGCTATCTATTTTAAATTTGGTAGCGTATATAAGTCCATGCCACTCTCTCCTAATGTGTAATTTCATATGTGTCCACTAAAGAGTATACTCATGGTAAAGAAATAAAAAAGCTAGATTCTAAAATGTATATAATATATGCTCTTGATTACGTTACAATAGTCACAGAACAAATCTGTTTTCTCCTACTTTCAAAATTACTTATAATGAATGTATTCCTTTTATTACCAGAAAAACCAATAAATGGTGCTAAAACTGCCATGCAGAGAGACTCTGAACATGATAAAATATGACCTTATATAGGCTACGAGTAAGAAAATCAGAGGGAAACGGAGAAGCATCAGGGTGGGTATCGCACCTCGGACCACACGCCCGCCTCCCACACGGTCATGCAGTCCTGGCCCTCGCAGCGCTGGGTGGAGGCCGGCTTGGGCCCGACGCAGTCCCTCTCCTGGGCTCTCATCAGGGTTCCATTGCTCAGCTGCTTGGTACAGGCCACTTGTCTGCTCTGCATCCCTTTTCCACAAGTTCGTGAACATGGGGTCCATTCTGTCATCATCCATCTAAAAGTAAAGCAAGAGTCACTGAGACAAGTTAAAAGATATCTACTTACTACATATTTTGACATGGATAGAATTAGCAGAATGTCTACACAATAGATGTATACCTTTTCTTTTTTCTTTTTACTAATATTTGAGGTTTCCCTAAGACACCCAGGCTTTCTATTGCTTCTCCACACTTCTCATCTCAGGGCCTTGCTCTTATTAGAATCTCAAAGGATGTATTAGACTCCGTCCCTGTCATGCTGCACGCTTTGCCTGCTGCTGCCCGTCACGTCATATTGCCATACTGAGGTACCTAACAAGTATAAAGTTGCTAATATACATGAGTTGGTCCTATTCTTTGCATTTTCAATCTTCACAATAACCCTACATATTAGGTACTACA